CATGCCACTATTTTGGTTACCACAATATGGCTTAAAGATGATATCCATCCCCCCCCCCCCCCCCCCCCCCTGCTTATCCGGAGTCAGGTCGCGGGGGCAGTAGCCTAAGTAGAGAGGCCCAGACATCCCTCTCCTCAGCCACTTGGGCCAGCTCTTATGGGGGAATCCCAAGGCGTTCCCTGGCCAGGTGAGAGACATAGTCCCTCCAACGTCTCCTGGGTCTACCTTTAGGCCTCCTCCCAGTTGGGCATGCCCGGAAAACCTCACAAGGGAGGTGTCCAGGAGGCATCCTGACCAGATGCCAGAACCATCTCAACGGGCTCCTCTCGATGTGGAGGAGCAGCGAATCTACTCCGAGCCCCTCCCAGATGACTGAGCTTCTCACCCTATCTCTAAAGGAGAGCCCAGCCACTCTGCGGAGAAAACTAATTTTGGCCGCTTGTTTCCACGGTCTCGTTCTTTCGGTCACTACCCAAAGCTCTTGACCATAGGTGAGGGTAGGAACGTAGACCGACCGTTAAATTGAGAGCTCTGCCTTCTGACTCAGCTCTCTCTTCACCATGACAGAGCAGTACAATACCCACATCACTGCAGATGCAGCACCAATCCGCCTATCGATCTCACGCTCCAGTCTTTCCTCACTCGTGAACAAGACCCTGAGATACTTAAACTCCTGCACTTGGGGCAGTACCACATCCTTTACCCGGAGAAGGCATTCTACCCTTTTCCGAATCAAGGCCATGGTCTCAGATTTAGAGGAGCTGATTCTCATCCCAGCTACTTCACTCTCAGCTGCGAACCACTTCAGCAAAAGCTGATGATCACGTTCTGATAAAGCCAACAGGACCACATCGTCTGCTAAAAGCAGAGACCCGATCCTCAGGCCACCAAAACGGATGCCCTCAACACCTTGGCTGCTCCAGAAATCCTGTCCATAAAGGTTATGAACAGAGAAACACCTAACATAAAGATGATAATTAATTTGAAAACCAGCTCTATACCACCTCTATACCCTTGCAAGGGTGATGGAGGGGGCATGGGAGTTTGCCCAACCAATCCACATGTGCTTTGTGGATTTGGAGAAGGCTTATGACCGTGTCCCCAGGGGCACCCTGTGGGGGACGCTCCAGGAGTATGGGGTGGGTGGCTTTCTGTTAAGGGCCATTCAGTCCCTTTACCAGAGGAGCGTGAGTTTGGTCCGCATAGCCGGTAGTAAGTCGGACCTGTTCCCAGTGAGGGTTGGTCTCCGCCAGGGCTGCCCTTTGTCACCGGTTCTGTTCATCACTTTTATGGACAGAATTTCTAGACGCAGCCGTGGTGTGGAGTGTGTCGAGTTTGGTGGCAGGAGAATCTCGTCTCTGCTTTTTGCGGATGATGTGGTCCTCCTAGCTTCATCCAGCTCTGACCTTCAGCTCTTGCTGGGTAGGTTCGCGGCCGAATGTGAAGCGGCTGGGATGAGGATCAGCACCTCCAAATCTGAGACCATGATTCTCGACCGGAAAAGGGTGGCTTGCCACCTCCGGGTCGGGGGAGAGGTCCTACCTCAAGTGGAGGAGTTTAAGTATCTCGGGGTCTTGTTCACGAGTGAGGGTAGGAGGGATCGGGAGATCAACAGGCGGATTGGTTCGGCGTCTGCAGTGATGCGGACGCTGAGCCGATCTGTCGTGGGGAAGAGGGAGCTGAGCCAGAAAGCCAGGCTCTCGATTTACCGGTCGATCTACGTCCCAATCCTCACCTATGGTCATGAGCTTTGGGTAATGACCGAAAGAACGAGATCGCGGATACAAGCGGCCGAAATGAGTTTCCTCCGTAGGGTGGCCGGGCTCAGCCTTAGAGATAGGGTGAGGAGCTCGGACATTCGGGAGGGACTCGGAGTAGAACCGCTGCTCCTCCGGATCGAAAGGAGCCAGTTGAGGTGGTTTGGGCATCTGGTCAGGATGCCTCCTGGACGCCTCCCCGGGGAGGTGTTTCGGGCATGTCCTGCTGGCAGAAGGCCCCCGGGTCGACCCAGGACACGTTGGAGAGGTTACATCTCCAATCTGGTCCGGGAACGCCTTGGGGTCCTGCCGGAGGAGCTGGTGGACAAGGCCGGGGAGAGGACGGCCTGGAGCTCCCTAGTTGGGATGCTGCCCCCGCGACCCGGACCCGGATAAGCGGAGGAAGACGAGACGAGAACATTTTTTTTAAATATATGAAATAATCTCACTATAGACACTATAGTCACTTACTATAATCAGCTCATAGTGACTAAAAGTGAAGATTCAGATATACTATATTAATCCCCATTGGGTAAATGGTTTACTTTCTGTGCTTTGATTTGAAAGTACACATCAAAAGGGCCTAAAATATACAGTAAGACACAAGTGATTAAAAATTCTAGTGAAATAGTTTCACACGAGCTCTGCAGGGTGGAGATGTTTGTCTGATGGTTACAGGCAGAAAGGCATCCTGTGTGGAGCGTCATGGTGGAATCAGTCTGTCGCTAAATGAGCTTCTGGAGCTGAAAGAGTGAACTTTCTGTGAAATTTATGTTGGTGAGCAGTGTCTGAAGCTAATTATTAAATAATTCAGTGAGAGTGGTAGATCTTGCCTGCTAGCCAACCCCTTCTGACCACAGGAACTCCCAGCATGCACTGCAGCTAACTGACAGAGTTTATTAGAGCATTTCCTAATAAATAAATAGACAGCCAACACCCTTTTAGCTTCCCCCTTTGGAGACAATAGTTACAAGTTCTAAGACAAGAAAAGACGAAAAGTAAAGTTTTCTCTCCAATGGCCCCACTCTTCATCCCTTTATTTCTAATGAGTTCTGACAGAAGGCAGAATCAGAGTAGCAGAAAATTTGCCTGAACAGAACTTCATCTGTCACGGTCCTGATGTGAAGCAGAGGGGGCACCAGTGCACAGTTTGACCCTGTAGCCTGTGGGCATTGTGTAGTCAGCTTTGTCACACTGGGTCATCTGGGTCCTGAGCTGCTCCACTGAACAAATGGGTCCAAACATGCCTCTCAACAGCAGACACCAACACTAATGTTGAATAATATATTGGTTTGGTTTAACCATTTGTTTAAGGTCAGTTGTGTTGGATCAAGGGGGTGTTGACATGCTAGTCGTGAACTGTTCAGAAATATAGATAAACAACAGTTTGACTAACCCTTGAGTTTAAATCAACAAACAGAGAATACAGAGAATGATGTTATCAGTCTGTAAGTTCAGTTCTAGAAACACCCCAACACTAAACCATCATGGTTAGTGTCCCAGCATAACCAGGGATCAGGAAGACCAAGACTTGGAGAAGACCAGGACTCCGATTTGACCCATCCATGAGGAACAGTGGGTTTCCATTTGATGACACCAACAGAAGGCATTTTCAGGGTTCAGTATCTTGCCCATGGATAATTCTACAAGTGGCCTAGCAGGGCCTGGGACGTTCCGATCAGTGGACAAACGATGTTCCCTCTTGAGCTGTAGCTGCCCCGAAGAAAAATACTCTTCATAGAGTGTTTATAAAAGTAAAGTTACATCTGTTTTTTTTTTAATACTTTATGGAGTATACTCTGCACCTGGTGCAGTCTATGGTCATTTCCCGACTTGACTACAGTCTTGACTTTGAAACTTGAGCAGATGTTCCTGAAGGCAGCAGTGCGTCTGGTCTTCAATCAGCCTAACAGAGCACACGTCTTCCCTCTGTTCATTGAGCTCCATTAGCTGCCTGCATAATTTTCAAGTCACCTTGTTAGTCTACAATGTTCTGAAGGGAACTGCTCCCAACTGCTCTTGCAAAGGCTTATGTCATTATTCAGTTTCTCCAGTCATTTAAGATTGTCAGCTAGCAGTGCCTACACCACGCTCAGGACAATCCAAACTCTTTTTCCTGTGTCGTTTCATTACGGTGGAATAACTTACCAAGTACTACCAGTACTGGGGTATTCTTGGGACATTTGGAAGTCTTTTAGGATAAAGCACCCACCAAAGCACATAAACATTTTCATCAGTGTTTAAAGCTAACTGCCACTGCAACCTCAGGGGTGAGCACAGTGCAATATAGCACAGTGTCATCAGCATAAAGATTTTCCTCGAATATTATCTTTTTTTAGCAACTGTGGTTACTATACTTTGTAATACATTCAATCTGTGAAATTAACAACATACCCCACCTCCTTCCTACTCTTGTTCCAAGTTTCTTGGTGGACGTGTTGATTCAATTTTCACAAATATTGAGAAAAAAATATATTTACACCTGTTTTATTTTACATTTTGGATCCATATGCAGTCACAACATCTTGGCTCCTCCTTCTAATGCCGGTCATTAGTTTGGTCACATTTTCCCAACCAGGAGTTGTTTAAGACCAACCAGCAGGATGGTGTTGGCAATATAGTAGGTCATGCAACATGTCCAAGCTGTGAATCAGACAGGTGCCAGTTGTACACCTGTAACTGGAACACACATTAAAACATGTTAAACACAAACAGGAGAACACTGCAGGGGATTATGGCAAATTTTTGGCTTAACATCTCTAGTTTGATCCAGATGTCTTGTGGTTTGTTCAGATGAATCTGGACCAAACTCAATGAGCTACCATTTTGTTTTAGAGGAAGATTTATTTTCCAACCAGCCACTGCCGCAGCGCTGCCTTCTCGGTCAGCTGGGCATCGCCTCCTTTTGGTGCAACAGGAATTGTGGGTGGAGTAAGGCTGGTAGGAGGGTGACTTTTATGACCAAACGGGTTGATTTTTACCTGGTGGAAGATGTAAATAAATTTGTGACTTCATGTCATAATGATGAACAGACGGTGTACAATACTTGCGTTTGAAACCCTTTAGAATGTTTATCGAAGGCTTCACTTTTCAGTGTCACATTCATGTTTATCCTGATTCTGGGCCAGGTTTATTTACAAAGTCTTAATGATGTCTGTCTTATATAGTCAGGTTATTAGTGAGTCTAAGTGAGTGGTTGGTTGTCAGTCAGTTCATGCATGCTTCCTGAATTGTCCATTCCAGGATCCCAACCCGTTTCTCAGTCCTTCCATGGAGCCTGATGCGTTGCTGCGTAGTGCTGTTCCTCCTTTGCCCAGTAAGGAGCAGGGAAGGCTGGGAAGCTCTGCTAGAACTCTTGCTCCACTCCACTTCCCTTCTGAGCTGCTCCCTTTTGATGAGGCCCTTAGGGACGTTTGCACCATACGACCCTTGATGGAAGGAGATGTGGTGGCCCGTCATGGTGGGCAGCTCCTGGAGATCAAAGCTGCTGAGCGTAGAGGTAACTCTAGCCCTGATTTCTGTTCAGTGAACCCAACTAGATCCTATTGAAGGTACAATAACACCTTTTTGTTTGTTCTGACAGAAATGGAAAAACAGATGAAAATTGAAAATTTGTTTGTGACTTGGCAGCAGAGGTCAGCACAGTCCAACATGCCCATTTCAGTAAGTATCCCAGATCCTGTTCAGAAAGATTCTTGGATGGGAGGGCATCTTTTGAAGGGGATTACAGCTTAGTTCATGGAGGTCCCAGTTCATGTTGCCCTTCACACAGTATGTTCATGTGTTTCCTCTCAAATCTTTCTTCGTGTCTTTTTTCCAAACATCAGATCACTAATCTGTAAAAAAATAAAAAAATGACTTGTTTTTCTATTTAGTTTCAAATTAAATGGTTAGTTGCCTGTATTTATACAGTCATTCATCCATTCACACACACTTACACACACTGGTGGTGGTGAGCTGTCCTGGGGCGAAATGACAGAGGCGAGGCTGCTGAGCACTGCTGCCACCGGTCCCTCCGACCACCACCAGCAGGCAAGAGGGTGCAAGTTTCTTGCCCAAGGACACGACTGCAACAGTCTGAGTGGGGCTTGAGCCTGCAACCCTCCAGTTAATAGGCGGGCATTAACTCCTCTGCCACCATTGCCCAAAATAAAGTAAATTTGCACAAGTTCACATTTCCATCGGACATGATGAAGCCTCAACTCTTATCTCTGCGTTTGGTTTGTTCCTGATTCAAATCTGAAGAAAGACGCTAACACAGGCCACTTATAAAGGGGTTTAGTTTCTAAGGGGTCTGTTTTAAAGGGGCTCGTTCTAAAGGCGTAGTTTGGCCCATTGTCTCCATGTCAGATCCTTGGTATTAGACCTTGCTTTGACCTTGATACATGTGAAGCTTTTAGTCCAGATTCCTGTCTGTAAAGTCCATGTGATGTTTTGTTATAGTAATCATTGAACATTTCTACAGGGGACAGATTTGGGGATTCTGAAGCAGTCTTCAAGACTTGTCCACTACTGTGCCACCCCTCTTCTATTTGACCCCACCTTCCGAAAGCAGATCCAAGAAGAAGCCACAGCTCTACCTCAGCTAAAGGTATGTTTCCATCTCGACTGCATGATAAACTCTAATTAAATATTATTGCAACAATGTTTTTTGTATCCTGATACTTAGAAACTTTCATTCTTCATGTTAAGTTTATTTCTATAGCACATTTTTACATTTAACACTGCCCCAAAGTGCTGTAGAACAAAACACAAACAACCAATAAAAGTAAGGAACCTTGGTGTTATCTTTGACCAGAACATGTCATTCAAATCCCACATTAAACAGGTTTGTAGGATTTCCTTCTTCCACCTTCGGAATACTGATAAGATTAGAAGCATTAGAAGCTTACTCTCCTGATAATAACACTTTACTTTCTTTGACACTGAATGTGCTATTACTAGTTTACCTGTTGAATAAATTATAGATTCACTAGGATAAATACAATAAAGTTTATCTCTCACTAAATAGAATATTTACTAAGAAATCACAATGTAACCATAGAAACACTATTTGGTATACATGTTGCATGTGTGGATGTGTGTGTCTGCTCTGTCTTCTCCAGTGAGTCGTGGAGGAAGGCTGCTTATACTGAGCCAGGATCCTCTGGAGGTTTCTTCCTGTTAAACGGAAGTTTTCCGCTCCACTGTCGCTACATGCTTGCTCAGTATGACGATTGCTGTAAAGTCACTGACACTAGTCAGTGACGATGCAAGTTGTTGGGTTCCTTATATAGGAAACCTTTTACTGATTGGCTTAATGAACTGACCTGTATTGGAATGTTTACTGTGTGAAGTGCCTTGAGACGACTTTTGGTGTGATTTGGTGCTATATGAATAAACCTGAATTGAATTGAATTAAAACAATCATTAAAATATAATCAAGAGACAGAGAAAAATAGTAAAAACTAATAAACTAAAACCTGTCTAAAGGAAAACTTATATGTCTGAGTCAACTCACATTAAAAGCCAAATAAAAAAGATGTATCATCAGCAGAGCTTTAAAAAGCTCAAGGTTATGAGCAGTGCGTATATGCAAGGGAAGGCTATTTCGTAATTTAGTTCTGACCACAGAGAAGGCCCTGTCACCACGGGTCGAGATCTAGGCACGGTTAGAGAAGGTCTGGCAGCTAGAACACATGGTTCTGATGGGAACATGGGCAGTCAGAAGCTTGGAGATTTAGGAGGGAGCCATACTGTCAAAGGATTTAAAAACAAACAGTACATTTTTCAAATGGATCCTGAAATAAACAGGAATCCAACGCAAAGAGGCCAGGACTGAGGTTATGTATTCCTGTTTCCTGGTGCCAGTCAGCAGGCGTCTTGCTGTGCTTTGGTCCAATTGTTTCAGTTCATGCTTATCTTATGATTTAGTTTTATTGTTTATACAAGTAAGCCATTCTATCATAGATTCATCTGAACCATAAAGATAAAATTATGTATTTTAGCAGGAATTGATAAACAACAGCACCTAAACATGAATATGCTAAATAATACACCTCATCTAAAACTCTCTGGAGTTTACTTGTGTTTTCATTTGTCAGATCAAGGTCAGGGTTAGTTATGATCTATCCGTGTTGTTGTTGTCTTGTCGTGTGAAATCCATGTCCCAACTGATGGTAACATAACAAACAAATATCATTAAATCTGTAACTTACCAGCACCAGTAAATGTATCTAGAGTCTGTTTTAGTGTAAAAGTTTTATGGTTTTGTTGGATAAAATGTTTCTGAAGCTGTGATATATTGTTGGTAGAAAAGGCACCGCTCCAGTGACTCCACAGCATCGGGCCGAGACCGAAGCTACAGCACCGATTCCAGTGAGATGCTTCCCAGCCGGCTCAAAGAAGAACCCTGGCTGCTTGAGATTTCCAGCAACTTCCTCCAGCAGTATGTCCAGTACCTGCAGAGCATGGGCTTCATTCTGGTCCAGGTCCGGCCTCCATCTCCAGCTCGCAGGTTTGTTGTCACATTACATCTTTGACTGTAGTCAGACACCAAGGTTATAATGTTCTTTCTCCCTGCACCACGACAAAGTAGGATATGTCCTATAATGGTAGATAACTAGGAAAAAGGAAAAGAAACATCACTCAATATATCTGTGCAATGTCTTGCATCTAAAAAAAAGGTCTTAGAAATGTCAGCCCTCCAGGATTCTTTTTGGACGCAGATCTGAACAGGTTTTCTAAAGAAAATCCAATTTGGGGTATTGATTGCTATGCTTTTATAGACTCTGTTTAACAGCCAGCACAGCAAGCCTCAAATACATCCAATTATAAAATAATTTGGCATGTGGACACCTTTTAATCTTGCCTGGAACAGTATGACCTGCTAAGTCTTGGTAGCTCCATCATAGGTCAAAATACACCTAGAAACCTCCAGATCTCCACATCAGATTTTTATCACCATCAGCCATCAGCATGAAAGCAAGCTTCATGTTTTACAGGAAACATTTCTCAGCTCTACAGAAACACTAATTTGTCATTTTGATAACATAATTTGCTGTTTATTGTGATGAATTCCTCTCCAGTCTGTAACTCACTCTCAATGAAAGCTCAGCCATATTTCATTTAATTAGATCTTTACTGGTTCATAGTCCAACCCCCCTGACCCCTCCCCCCTTCTCCATGCAGCATTGCTCGGGCCCGTGCGGCCATGCTGAACTCTATGTCCCTGGAAGGAAGGATGTCATTTTCTTATGTGAAGCAGAAGAGTGAGGACAGCCCTAAGGTCGGTTCTCATCTGAGGAACTCCAAACTCTGTGTTCTTCTCACGCGCACACACACACACACACACACACACACTAGAAAACTCAGACAGGCTCGTATGCTGATTCTTATACAAGATATTTGGGGAAAATGTGTTTTCCTCTGTGAATATTTTTACATGTGACTTAAAAAATTGGCAAATTTTTGTGGTCTTTGGTCAGATAATAGGCAGCCCTGGGCAAGGACCACCTTTTTAATTTTGGGCCGAGTGATTTTGGTGCCCCTAATAAAAATATTTTCCACCTTGTTATTTCTAATAAATACACTTTAACTTATTACTTTTATGTTTTAATTTTAATATTAAGACCAGCTGTTTTATTTTAGAATGTTGAAATCCACACATTTGGCCAAAAGTTTGGAGAATGACCAAATAACCTCGCAAAGTTTTTGTTAGGTATTTTTATTAAATGTTCATTTTGCTTGGTCTGTGAATCTTCCTTTGTGTGGGGGGGTGATGGGTCTCTGTACCTCTGTAACCCGAGAAGGCCCCGCCTTCTCCATCCTTTGCTGATTAAAGCCACTGGAAACTCTGAAGAAAGTGGGAGTCGCATGGCATCTAGCTCTGGAGAGGGTTAGTGTCATTGGTGGTCTCCCCCTCATTTGGCTAATTCAGTGTAAAATGTCTCCCTTTCGTGATGTGTGTTCATTTCAGGTTCCAGGGTTGTGGAGAAGTAAAAATTACCCAACAGTTTTCCACCTCAGTGAATTTTTAATAACTGTTCTGATAGTAAATGTTGTTTTCATTCTAATTTTTTTGCCCACAACTATCCAACAGAATAATGAATCCTGCTGTGGAATGTAACTATGTTGTGTTTTTGCAGGCTATGTCACCTGGCACCAGCGCCTATCACCTCCAGAGGGCGCTGCCAGGGGGGATCGTGCTGATGGAACTGGCCTTTCAGGTAACATTACCTTGACTTCCTGTATAACTTCCTGTGTGTCATCATCGGGTTTTAGATTTAAAATGTGTAATGGGCAATTTCTATGCTGGCCTCAGTAGCTTCAAGAACCAAGGCAACCATTTATTTCTGCTGGAGGTTCACCACAAAACCACCAAGGCAAAAACAACTGTGATTAACATCTGATTAATTGCAAATTTAAACCAACGTTGAACTCTTATTGTATTGCTGTAAATTCGTGGCAACTTGCTAATATTAGCTAAACTTGCAACCGGTGTTTTTCTGTGTGTTTATGGCTGAACCCAGTCTAGTCCAGTCCAGGTTTTCTGAACTCTTTGCTTTCTCTACTCTTGTCAGGGCTGTTACTTCTGTGTGAAGCAGTATGCACTGGAGTGCTCCCGCATTCCAATGGGCCAGAGCGTTAACTCGCAGGTAAAAGTCCAACTGTGTCTGTAGACTGGAGCTGCGCTCTCTCTGGGTTACCATTGCTCTGGCCTCAGATAGGCATGTGTCAAAGGTCACGTGTAGAGTGTATTCTTTATGAGGTGTAACCTAAACCAAGTGAGTAACATCCCTAAGTTCCTCTACTGGAGGAAGACAGAAGCTGATAGACCAAACCGAACAGCAGGCACGGTGAAACTCTGCAGCGACAGAGTTATCTATCCGTTCAGCAGTATTCTGAGTTCTCACAGTGCACACTCTGGAAATACCACAGAGTGCTGGTGCAGGTAGACTGAAGCCATTCTGTTTGTGACTACTCCATTGTACCTACTATGTGTCTTCTTTCTCACAAACCGGGACAAGCTTGTCTTCACAGAATGTTCCTTGTCCTTCAGATGTGGACCACTGGATGTGAATAGGTGTGTGAATGATTGGTGTGTTTTAAAGCACCTTAGGGGGGGTTGTAGAACCCTTGAAGGTGTTGTCTAAATACAGGCCATTTACCACCTGGTCTGGAAGAGTTGGAATGTATTCATGGATGTGACCAAAACATCTCCAGGCCAAGTGGTTCTGGCCAGCAAAGACCTTCAGAAAGGTCTGAAAGGGGTACTTTCTGTGTTAGCTCACTCAACAATGCTCTCACTACTGTTTAAAACCTTGGTACTTTATACTTTTTGCTTTGATTTGAGAAAGATTCAACTGTTATGAGTGTTTCATGTAGAAACATGAAGATGCTGCATGTTACATGTCCACTAACACCATTGATAAAACTGTAGTTTTACCTGGATCAGTCATTACGTATCAGACGTTAGCGTGTCTTGGTGATGTCATCACTCCATTGGAAACCCTTTTGAACAACATGTGCTTGACTTTTATGTTCTGCCGTCTTTAGATTGAAGTTGAATCGAAACAGAATTTGTGTGACCTTTGCGAAAAGGGAAGATTGTGATTGAATCTATTAGCGGATCATCTTTAAGGTTTGGTAAACTGAGAGGGAGAATTGTAAATCTGGACACTCTAGCTCTGTAGCTCTGTAGTTCTGTAGTTCTGTAGTTCTGATTAACAATCTGGGCCAGGTGATTTTACAGAAACATCTGTATCTGCTGATGCTCTGAGACAGCCTACTTAATGAAGCCTCGAACATATCTTGGCCAACTGGAAGATCAACTTAACTTAAGGGAGGTACACCTGGTGACACAGTCAGCTGCTGAAATGCCTACCAGCTGATCTGGAGGGAAAGAGGGTATCTATCTATCAATACCCCCTTCCTTCACACGAGCAGGAGAAAAACCAAGATCATCTCCCGATTCAGGCCTAATAAAGGGCACCAAATATTGGGAGATGCAAGTGGTCCTAGGACAAAAGCTAATTTTCCACCCTGTGACCAGATCTGGTCCTCTGGTTCAAATCTGGATATCACACATTTGTCATCAAGCTGAAAGTCCTTTGGGAGGATGTAGTCGATGAGGCGTGCAAGAGGCTGCGATACACCAACTTAGCAGCTGAAGCAAAGAACTAAGGCTGGACTGGGAAGTTGGGCTCAGTTGAGGTAGCATTTATGTAGTCAGGAGTTGTGTAGTTAGCTCAATAACAAAGCTACTTGAGGAAATTTGAGTCATCTGAAAGGAACAGCCACTCTGTGGCGGAAAAGGAAAAACACTACCTGGGCTGCTAAGACGTCCAGCATTTACCCAGGATCAATTGACCCGGGGCAGGCCTGTCTCAGCAGAGGCTGTTAAATGGCTGAAGTACATGATGCTGAGGAATGAAGCTGATTGTGGAATTTTGAGCTCACTTCATTAATGGACCAGGGAGAGCCACCAAGTACTGAAGATAACCTGTCAATGTCCTAATGATGGTCATCACATCCTGGTAGCTGCTTCAAACTAACAGTCATGGTACAGAAATATTCAAGATAGTAACAACTAGTCCTATTGAGGATGATGGATTAAAGTAAGCAGCCACTCGGAAAACTGAAGACATAGACCTAGTTTAGATCTCGCTATGTTCCACCTATCCCCTGTATCTGAGGCTGGCTTTAAACACAAACTGTTTCTGACCTGGTGCTGTTGGTTTGATGATCATCTCTACCAGGTGGTGCTCTTCTTCTCAGGTATGAGGATGGTGGATATATTTTTGCTGATGAAGGCTGCCATCTTCTGCTTTTCATCACTGCTGCTCGTTGAGACCTTGTTTCTTTACCGGTTCAGGTCTCTGATTCACCTGGAGCTGGAGCTGTACCTGTAGTTTGGTGAAACTCCGGACACACCAACTTCAGAAGACACGCGTGCCTCGAGCCTCGGGTCTAACAAGGCCTACAAATATCGCTTAGAGCTGGTTCAAGAAATACTTCAGGGTTCTCAGGACCAGAGTTTAGCTCCAGTTATTGGTCTGTAAGACGTATCGGACAACCTTGAAACATCAGAAGACACCTTCAGTAACCCACTGTGACGTTGATGGGTGGCCTTAATGTTGTGGCTTATGTTTTAGAATTAACTAGCCATAAGAGTGGTAGATGTTGTCATATCGTGATTAGAGCTTGAATTCAGTTTTAAACTTAACAGATGATGAAGTCATTCAGCGTCCAGCTGACGGGCTTCTGACCCGTCTGGATCACCGTCTGGATCAGGTTCCTCTGGACATTGTGTCCTCCTCTCTGTCCATCTGTGTGTTTTCTCTGTGTGTGTGCCTAGTCCCACTTTATGTCCTCTCTCCATCAGGGCAGCCTCATCACCAAACTTCGTTGCAAGCCGTTTCCAGATGCCACAGCAGTATCTGATTGTGCGGTATGTCCCTGCCACCCTATAGGAGGGGCGTCTCACTCCAATCAGGCTCCGCCCCTCCTTGCCATCAGTTTGCTTGCTGCCGCCAGTCCTGATCTGTCCTTCTGTCTCATCTGTCTGGAAATGAGTGGAAATCTTTAATTGAAGCGTGTGTGAGCTGCAGGACTGTCGGGGTGGGGGGGTGGGATCTCTTTTCTGCGGAGCAGTTAGTGATATGTTGACCTTTGAACTCTTCTGTGCTTCCTCTTTTTCTGTGCTTGTTGGTGTGGCTGCTGTGGGTCTTCCAGCTTTGCTGTTCTGTCTGCTGATTGTCTCAAAATCTGCTGATACTTGTTTTGTTTGGCGTCTGTTATTCTGAAGAGCAGCAGGTGTTTTTGGGACCAGGCCGACCTTTTCGATCAGTCCCAGTAATCCTTTAGGTTTCAGATCCTCCTGCAACTTCTCCACCAATCAGAAATGACTCCTGTTTACTTCATTTCAGTGTATTTTATGTAATGTTGCTCTGTCTTCTCTAAAAGGTTTTTATGTGGATTGTTGTTGGTTTTCTCTTCAGTTTTTTTTTTCTTTTTATGAAGATGAAGCTTGATCGGGTTTTACATGAAGTCATGTGGGTGAACCTGTTATAAGATAAACCGAACACTATGAAGCATCCTAAGGTCATTTAATCATCTAAAAACAAAACTATGCTGCTGACACTTGAAATAATATTTTTTAACATGGTTATAAAGTAGGGCTGCACAATATATCGTAAATATATCGTTATCGCGATATCAGCATGCACAATATGCATATTGTAAAGATCAGATAAATATCGTAATGAATGGTCAGCTCAAATGTTTGCTACACATGATGCATGCTGTCAGTTAAACGGAAGCATGATGTTTTTTTAACACATCAAACAGAGCTCTTCACCCATTTGGCCAAGTGGGTGGGTTCTCATAGGTCAGAGTCCCGCCCCCGAGGCGGATGGCACCTAATTTTGATGGTTAGCAAAGACCTGAGTTAGCTTAGTTCTGCTGATTCTGCTTTTCCCGGGATCCACTGATGGCCTTTTCTTGTTCATTTTCTTTTCCCTTTCCTCACATATTTAGCTTTTCTCATGTTTATGATTTTTTTTTTATTTCTTTGTTTTTGATTATTTTTGTTCCTGAGTTAAGTTTTTATTTATCTTGAGTAATATCGTCATCGCAATATTAATCACTGTTATCGAATATCGTAGGTTTTCCTAATATTGTGCAGCCCTATTATAAAGATTGCTTATGAGCTGGAATCAGTTCTGGGAATCGCACAGAAACCTTATTAGGATTGATGGTGATCCAGACCGCCGTGGCGTTTAGAACTTCAGCCATCTCCTTGTATATATGGAAACTCTTCCTGGTTTGTTTTAATCAGTTTTGTCTTCGATTAGAATAATGCGACTTCCACAGAGCACAGCTTCCAGGACAGTCCCACAGCTCAGAGAACATGAGCTCTGCTGGTGGAGCTCCTTTAAGCTGGTATTTCAGTTATAGGAGTAAAAGTTTGCTTTCACCGAGTTTTGAGGAGCATCACAAAGCAACATTTTGCTGCAGCCCTTTTATTCCAGCTGTTTTCTTCTACTATTGTTTTTCAATAAATTTGGAAAAAACGTTTACTGATTCTGATGGATCAGATGTGTGGAAAGAAGCTATTTATGTCCAACCCAGCAGGTTTCTGTGTTATTTAGTCACTAATGCACATTTCAAGGTTTGTTCCATCAAACCAAAACCCTCCCCTGGTTCCAGCAAGACTGGATCTTTTCCTCATTCTGTTATTGGAGATCTTTGGTTCAACTCACTTGGTTCTGCTGAACTCTCCTGCTTGTTAAGCCAGTGTTCTGATGGACTGAGTTCAAACTAATTACTAACACCACTCACTGTGGGGATGAGTCCCAGCAGTGGACTCCACCAGAACCAGATCATCACCACCAGCAGCAGCAAAGAGAGGAATTTCAGAACTTACGTAAACATATGTTGGTCAAAACCGATGTTCCTTTGGTAGCCTTCACTAGTTTATCTCTACAATAGTGAGTCACAGTCCTGTTGCATTTAAACATACAGACTATCTATAGCAAAACGTTCTAGTGTAGAATAGAATAAGCATAAAAAGTAATCATAAAAATGTCTAGCTACATCAGCAGTCTGCTGGGGGCTGCAAATGGCATCTGGGCCAAACTTTGGATTTGGTGACATATCCAAACAGACATCCAGAAACTGTTGTTCAGAAGAACATGAGTAGATGATCAATGTGGTTTAGTCTCTGGCTTTCATCAGTCATCATGAAGCATCAGACAGCCAGAGTTTAAAGGTGTGGTTCACTGAAAACCCATTTTTAAAATGATTATTTCTGATTGTAATGAGTCACTTTGAGTTTTTAATGCAAGCTGAACATAAAAATAGTCTCCTACACCAATCTCCTGCATTAGCTTCTGATAGAAAACAGACGTAAAACTCTAGGATTAGAAAATCCTGACAGATCTACGTCAAGCTTGACATGACTCGGAAGGCTGTTGTCGTTTTAGCATCCAGTGGACGGTAGAGAAGTCTCTGCTAGTAGAAGCTAACTGTTAGCCTTAGCAACTTCACCACATGGCAGGAGCTCCTCCCGACTTGTGTTATTTGTGGAGATAAAACATCCACATTGCAAACCAGTTGAAGAGTCTCATTGCTGTTATCCGATCTGAGGTGAGATGTCCAAACATCAGGAAATAAGACACCAAAACCAAAACCTGTCGTCTGAAGCTACTTTCTCCTCCAGCTGACTTCTCCCTGTTGTAAGTACGACTTACGAGGTATTCATTCCAACTAGAGACCACCGCAAATGTATTGATTAAACGAGTGCTCCACACCTTTAAATACAACAAATATGAAACACATCTAGAATCAGAGGGAATGTTGGTACACCTGAAGAGCTTTGATAAGTTTTAAACATCGGACCTCAAAGATTGTCAAAATGTTGGAAGAAAAGAGCAAAACCTAAAAACATACGAAATATGTTCAAATTAAAAACAAATCAAGCCCAAAAACTGTTGGTTTTGTCAGAAAATAATTTTATCTTAAATGTTTATTTCCTGGAGATCTGGTGTGTGAAGATCTGTGATTGTTTGGTGTGTTTCTGACTCGTCTGCTGCTGCTGCTGCCCTGATGAAGGCCAGAAGCTGAAACCTGTTGGTCAGACACTAAAGTTGTTTTCAAAAAACGAGGTGTTATATGTCTGGATTGTTTCGTAGGTGAAGTCTAATAAAGATCTCTCTCAGCAGAACAACAGGGTTAACAATAAAACAGAAAATAACATCTGATGAAAATCCGTTTTTTTTTATGCACCACCACAGAACGCCACCTTCTGTTTGACCGAGAGATCTGAGTAACAAACAGAATCCCACATTGGCAGCTGCTAACGGCCTTGTCCACCCTCTGTTGTAGCTCTCCATGCTTTTCACCGAGGAGTGTGATAAGGTACGAGACCTGATGCACGTCCACTCCTTCAGCTACGACTTCCACCTACGAGTGGTTCATCAGTACCTGGTGGGCTGTCACATGACACTGCGGCAGGGCTACCAGCTCACTGAATTCCTGGACGACTTCATCTCCCATCACCCAGACATTCCCAAGTTTGGACATAATCACGTCTTTCAAGGTGACACTGGAAATGACTTTGAAATCAGCAGTGAAGGGTAGATTCCTCCAAGCTCATATAAACCTACGTAGCTGTTCTGATGCTTGTCACAAACTCACTGGGAGTAAAATGAGTTTTTTGTAAACAAGGTGAGTCACTGATCACAATGTCAGGCAAAGGTGGATTTAAAGGTGCGAACGGAAATGTAGTTCTTGCTGTCTTAGAAAGGTCTCTTACTAAAAGACACTGATTGGTAGATTATTTGGGTCAAGTATGCTTTCGAGTGGTTACGGTGAACATCTGGGATTGTTTTTCCTTCAGGGAGCTTTTCCATTTCCACGGGGATGATAACGGCTCACCAGCTCTACAACTACATCACGGACCATGCAGGCACCTACGGAATGAAGCCTCTACGGATGTCCAAGGGTGCAGTCCCCACTGACACTAAGAAAGGGACGCCAGACCTGCACGAGTATGCCCTGGTGGCACTGTGGAACAGGTGAAATGCCACCTCAGCCCTTAAAACATTTCTGGTCTCCACTTAAGTGGCTTCTCCCCAACCTTCTCTTTCCTTTTCCTGCTTCACATGCAGTTCTGGCTCCTACAAGGACCTGGAGGGTCTTCATCACCATGATGACTTTGACGTGTCCCTGGTGGTGTGTCATAATGCCGCCCCCTTCGAGGAGCAGTCGGACGGAGAGAGGCATCTGCTGAGGTGAGCTCAGACAGCTGTAACTGAATCTGGTCCGGATTCACACTGAAGCCCAGTAACACGAAACCGGATTCAGTTCAATTTGCTCAGATTCAATAAAATTCTCTGATGGCCTGGGGTCATTGCACAGACTGGGAGTCTGCGGGCTCTGGGTTCTAGTTACTGGTACCAGCAGACTGGAATGTGGGGAGTCTGGAGACCAGCTGAACACCTGGGACTCTGAGCTGTTACCAGACCCCCTGCATGTTTCAGTAACTCTACTGTGGTTGGTTGAGTGCAGATGTCTTCAGTGTCTTTCCAGATCACATCACAGGGATGGTGACCGGCTTTTGGAGTAAACAGCTTCTCTGTTTCTGTTTAGGCTGAGGTTCTACGTTATCATGACCAGTCAGAGGGAGTTGTTTCCCCGCCTCACCGCTGACATGCGGCGCTTCAAAAAGCTTCCTCCAATCTACCGCGATCTCTGTGAGCCTGGCGAGAGGCTGCCTTCAGATCAAGCAGAGGATGCTGGTTCTGGTGGGAATGACCAGGACCTCTGGGAGGAAACCTCCTCTGAAGCTCCTGCTGCCTCAGCCCCAAGTGACGGCAATGAGTTTTACCCTCTGGCAGGAGGTCGACCGGGGGCTCAGGGACTGATGTACGCGTCACCTTTGTTCCCTCTTCTCAACAACGAAGTGGCATCAGCTCGTAGGCAGATCCAGACCAGCGTGGAGCAGGCCATGGGTCACTGCCGCAGGGACAACCTGTGGAGGAGATTATTCCATGGAGAGCATGTGGCCCTGGACAAACTGAAGCTGGCCAAGCTGTCATTCACAGAGCTGGAGGAGCTGCTGCAGGCCGTGCAGAGCCGCTCTGTGGGGGAAATCGATCCTCAGCTGGTAAGAGTCCCCCATCATCAAGGCTTAGTGGTTAAACTGGATACCAGGGTGCTGCTGGAAAAGGCAGAACCAGACTAGTTCAAACATAAGAACTAACCACACACACACACACACACACACACACACACACATCTACAATTGTAAGTTGCTTTGGATAAAAGCAATCGTCTAAATAAACAAACAAGCTGGCTCCACAGGCGCATCATTTACCCACCCAAACCCGGACTGAGGTCATTAACAAGACTGTGGTGTGTTACAGGACTGTTTTCTCACAATGAGCCCAGCGTGGTACCAAGGCCTCATCAAAGTCCTGCTGAACCGATTCCCTCAAAGCTGCAGACACTTTGATGAAAGTGGTATCCAGTATCTGGTGAGAACCTGCTCAGTATTTTTTTTTTGTTTTTATCTGAGATTAGCTGTTGGTGGAGCTTTGTGTGTGTTTCAGTCAGGTTTCTACTGGACCCCAGTCTCACTGGAGTCCTGACAGACCGACAGACGTCTAGTGGATGTGTAACTGTTTAGTCATGTGACAGTGATGGAAATTATCTCAAAAACGTAAATGTGTGTGTGCGTGTGTGTATAGCAACATATTCACACACATATTATCTAGTTTGCACTTTATAGAAGTAAATCTTTATAAAATAAAGACTTTCAAAAATTCAGCTTGCATAATTTTCAGTCTATTCTAGTCTGCTGAATTCAGAAATGTAAAGATCAGAGAGTGTGTGTGTGCGCGTGTGTGTGTGTCGGTTAACGACCTCAACAGCTATATTAATATCAGATATTAGTATCAGCCCAAAATTTCATGTCAGTGCATCTCTAGCCTTTCTAATGTGGAGATGGAAGACATAACTTTAAGCTGTGATGTACTACTATTGCTGATCTACGTTTTTGATTCTGTTCAAGGCTGTGCTGAACCAGAAGTTCACTGACTGCTTTGTTTTGGTCTTTCTGGACAACCAAGCAGGAAAAACAGTAAGTATCTTAGGTGTGTTCTTGCTGTGCGTCATTTCTAATTCCATGTTGTCGTGCTTTTTTAAAACACAGAAACGGTTTTGTTACCTGTTGCTGACGCTACGTTTTGCCGACGGCTGCCGGCTTCTTCAGGCTGACGCTGATGGTGGCGCGTCCCTTCCTTCTCCGTTTATCTGCAATAAAACATACATAGGAGAAACCGGACGCCAACTCAACACACGAACAATAGAACACAGAAAGGAGTGTGAGAGAGGCAAATCGAAAACACACAAGAGCAGCTAAAGAAGAAGCAGAAAGTACAATAATAAAGTCAGCCGTAACAGATCATTGCTTAAGAGAAAACCATGTAATGGACTGGGACAGCACACGGATCATAACCACCGAACAACAAAAATACAAAAAATGGATCAAGGAAGCAATCGAGATAAGGAGACGTGGATGTGGGACCATGAACAGGGACGACGGAGTTTACATGCTGGACCACGCATGGGACTGCATCGTCGGAGAGGGGAGAGCGGGCAGCAGAGGGCGACAACGTCCTCTGCTGCCCGCAGATAAACGGAGAAGGAAGTGACGCGCCACCATCAGCGTCAGCCTGAAGAAGCCGGCAGCCGTCGGCGAAACGTAGCGTCAATAACAGGTATCAAAACCGTTTCTGTGTTTTAAAAAAGAACGACAGCATGGAAAAACAGTAAGTAGTTGTCCTAAATCAAGAGACGTGGGTCAAATCACCAAGACCGCACGAACCACAAACATTAGATGTTTTTAACTTAAAAATACAGAAGTTACTTAATCCAAAAAAAAGTATTGGATTTTTGTAGAAAAGGATCAGTAAACCTTTGTAGATACCAGACATAAACATGGTTTTGTGCATTTACTAAAAGAAAATCATCACATTCCTTGATTTGATTGTTTTCTAGTATCTTAATCTTATTTGTCATAAAATAAAATGAATAAAAACACGAAACTTGATGAACTAAAGATAAATCGTTTGGGTTGAATCAAACATTTTTAATTATTTCAGTTCATCTGCATTATTTATTTGACATCACATTAGTAGAAATATGAACAATAAATCATAAAGGTGTTTTCACATCTACAGTGTTTAGTCCATTTACATAGAACCGCGGTCCATTTCGTGGTTCTTCTGTGAAGGTAAGAACACTCACTAGGGTGTGGAACAAAAGAACCATATAGACTTTGTAGTGTGGACACAACCCAACCTCAGACTATCAGGTGTAAGTTAATGCCAAACACAGCTGGAGTTAAACGCCAGCTCCTGTGATCCTGCTTAGGACTAAACGGTACAAAATATGATGACTGAATGAAGTAGTTCAAATGATCCGTAAACAGATCAGGATAAGGGCATTAGACTGTGTTGTGGTCTTGTTCAAACTAGCCCCGCCCCCAGGTAGTCTGACAAATCAGCAGCCTGAAGGTTTTTGACACATTTGGGTTTGTTTGCAGCTTTCTGTGTATGAACAAAACTGAACCACAGAAAAAAGCTGCAAATGAACAAATGAGAAAACACCCTATAAGTTTCTGTCTGTTTAAAACAAAATTCTAGCGTTCTTGGATTGAAGTTGCAGGCTGCACATTTTAGACACCCCTGCTCAGAATGGCTTCACTTTCTGTATTTAACCTGGCAAAGCTCTAAGCGAAGGTCTTTTTCCAGAGCCTGAAGGTTGTGTTTCGAGAGCCGCTGCCGTCACAACCACAAGCCGGTGGCAGTCCTCCTCCTCAGCTGGTGTCCATGTACCACCATCTGGAGTCCGTCATCAACATGGCATGCTACAACCTCTGGACTGGACTAGTATAGGGTCCACCGGCACTGGACTGAACTGTCTCAGCGTACCAAATCAGTGTTAGGAGCTCTTAACAGAGCTTGGCCCTTGTTTAGATGGGCTCAGTGTGGTGTCCAGCAGAGCTCCGCTGCCTTCACTCGGTACCATGAAGTGCCTTTATAGGTTTTTCTGTTCTTTTGTTTCTTTAATCCTACAAACAGCTGTCAGAAACCCTGACACAGTCCTGCGCGTCCTTTGCTGACATCTGATTGGTTGCTTATTACCAAAAAAAAAATACTAGAATTAGCTTTGGTGGTTTGCATGATAAACATTGGCTAAGTGTTTCAATGTGAGAAATCAATCGATGAGTTAATCAAACCTTATTTCTGGAGCACCTTTCCTACGTCGTTTTGAAGTCGCTCAGGATGAAAGTATCTGCCAAATGCAAACATCAGTGTGTAACACAAAGTGCTTTACAGAAAGACAAACCTAAAAGAAATGCAACAAACTGATGAAATAACTGGAAGTTTTTAATGATCAAACTGTAGAGCAGGGGTAGGCAGTCCTGGTCCTCGAGTGCTGCTGTCCAGCATGTTTTAGTTTTTTCCAGTTCCAACACCTGATTTTAATCAGCAGGCGTTTAACAGGCTTCTGCAGAGCTTGTTGACCTGCTGAACAGGTGATTGAAGCACTGAATCATGCTACAACCTGCTGGATAGTGGCACTTGAAGGAAGGGACTGAGGAGAGCAGTTTTATTGATATAGATTAACGACAGGTCTGACCTGTGTGTTTTTAATACTTGTGATACAGTTCACCACCAGAATCCCACATGGCAACCCCCCAGATGAAACAAGAGCCTACGGCTCTGATAGGAACAGTGGAGTGGTCCCTCAATAATAACAAGAGATTGTCTTGATGCTAAAGGAAATGTGTTACTAGTGAGAATGTTTCTGTAAAGTGAACCGTATTTCATGTACATGATGTAAATATAGAACACTTTATAATGGATGTAAAATATGGAGTAAATAGAATAAACAATGGATTTAACTTGGGACTTCAGTCATAGACTGAACTTTATCTCTCTCTCTCTCCCTCTCACACACACACACAAACACACACACACGGTTTGAACCTGACATGTGGAGAACTAGACCGAGATTGCCAATTATCTCATATTTATTACAAATAAGACTTCATTGTTCATATAATGGTTAAAAAAAGGGGCTGTAGTTGATATAAAGCCTTCAAGGGTTCTACAAGCCCCCTAAGACACTTTACAACACAAGCAGTCATACACACATTCACACACTGGTGGTGATGAACTACACAGTAGCCACAGCAGCCCTGGGGCCCACCGAGATGAGGCTGCTGAACGAATGCCTCCGGTCCCTCCAACCACCACCAGCATCACATTGATACAAAAACTAAACTGGTCTAGACAAAAATGATGGAACTGTTAATATTTAGTTTCTGAACCTCGAGACATCCAAGTGATTTCTGTAACTCTTGACGTCTCGCTTGAGCACAGGTATTTTGATCCTCATGAGAAAGCCTCTCCAGCCGTTTCAGATTTGAAAACTTCCTTCTGCAGGTGTTTTCGCTCCTTCCACAGATGTTCAGCAGGTTCTAGTTCAGGGTTAATACACATTAGAATAGTTTAATGTTTGGTTCTGATCCACTTTTGGGTGTTTTTAGCTGTAGGTTTAGCCTCATCTTGTTGGAAGAGTCATGACCTGTGACTTTATTGGACCTTAAACAGATTTAAGACATCCTGGTCCAGATGCAGCATAGCAGGTCCAGAACATAGTCTCCACATTAGGTCCAGTGTTCTTACAGCTTAGGTGATTTAACAAAAGCTCCAGTTTTGTCTCGTCGGTTCAAAAGGTGTTCTCCCAGGAGCTCGAGCATTTAGGTGAACTCCAGCCTTGGCTCATTTTCTACCACCTGATCAACTGGGGGAACAGTTCCTCTTGGGTACATGAGGTCTAGGTGGGCTTTGGTCTCAGGAACCTTCTACTTAATGTTATTAGCAGCTGTGGTTAAAGGAACAAGAAGCTGCTCAGGGGTGGCTTTGCTGTCGAAGTGAAACAGGTCATTTTTAAAGCCTCTATCAACCTTCATTTTGTTCCACCCCTAATAAGTCATGCAGACCTCTTCAGTAAACAAATGTAATCATGTACATTACATCGAAGTCTCGTTAACATTTAAATGTTTAATATTTGTGCATATTAAGGCATCAGTTCTACACGTGATTATAGAACTAAAGATTAAATTATTCAGTTTAATATCTTCAACAAGACTTGGTCTGAGTTTTGATGATGTTTTCAGATGGTCCTTCAGAACATACAGCAATGAACCCCTGCCCCACCAGGAGGACTTGGTTGTCTCCAAAGGAATGCTGAGCTGGGCCGAGTGGTTCTAATGTTGTGGCTGATCATCTTTATAGGGTCATTGCAGTTAAAACAGAAATAACTCCAGATAGGTGTCTTCTGTCTGAGCTCATTGTGCTCCGTGTGTCCAGTATTGCTGGATCCAACCCAGACCCTTGGTGGTGGACTCTGCAGTAGACAGATGAGACAATAAGCCGACATGTTTTAAATTAGTGGATCAACTATTAGAGGTGAGGGAAGACTGACCAAAGGGTTTGTATTCACAGCCGATGTAACCCCGGTAGCCGAGGTGTTCCAGCGTACGAAACAGGTAGCTGTAGTTCAGCTCTCCGTCAGAGTCGGGTTCGTTCCGGCCAGGAACCTGGGCGACCTGAACATGACCTGAGAACCAGAACCATTCAGAAGAAGCCTTGTCTTATTTGTGCATGCTTAGCTCAGCTGGACAAATGTTGTCCTACATGAACATACAAGCCAGTGGACTTTGTGTTTAACACCAATAAATGAGGTATGACTCATTGTGGAACTCCAGTCAGAACCAGCGTAACTTAGTTGGAGCCATCTAAATGTTCTGCCCAATAACCACCTGGTTCTTTCTCCAGCCGGAGCAGCTAACACACTGGTTTACAGGGCAGATTTTGAAACCATGTTTGAATCTATGAAGGCAGATCAGAGGCCTGAGGATGCCAGAAACCCTAAACATTTGTATGCGAGGAACACTGAGAACAGATATAAGCTATTAGGTGCATATTTAAAAGAAAATGCATATAAAATGTAAAATTTGTCTACAATGAAACCAATGTGTTTTTTTATAATTGACAAAGCAGGATTTTTCTGCCACCTGGATGACAAGAACTACTTTTCCACCAACCTTCATCTGGGCTATGTTATAGACCAGAGCATAAGATATATTGGTCAAAACCAAGATCTAAAATTCAAAGCCAGTTTTAGATCCTCTGCCACCCATCAGCAGGAATACTAAAGAGGAGATGACTCGGCTTTCGTCGATGCCTCTGAAGATAAGACCAGACATGAGATCTCATCTGTCATTTTTGTTTATGCATTTAGCAGACGCTTTTGTCCAAAGCGACTTACAAGTGATAATCGGCATGTTGCCCTTGAGGCTAACAACAACAATAACAACAACAACTTGACATCAGTCATGGAGAGGAGGGAACAAGGAATGGACAGTAGAGAGGGGAGGTACGGGTGCAGAGAGGGTGCTAGGTAAGAAGATGCTCTCTGAAGAGCAGGGTCTTCAGGAGTTTCTTGAAAATTGAAAAGGAAGCCCCTGTTCTGGTAGTGCTTGGAAGGTCATTCCACATTTGTGGAACGATGCATGAGAAGAGTCTGGATCGTCCTGAGCGTGGTGTAGGCACTGCTAGCCGACGATCCTGTGATGACTGCAGCAGCTGGGACGAGACGTAAGCCTTTGCAAAAGGATTCAGGTAGATGGGAGCCGTACCGTCTCGGACTTTGTATGCTAGTGTTAAAAATTTGAATTTGATGCGTGCTGCTAGCGGTAGCCAGTGGAGCTCAATGAACAGAGGGGTGACGTGTGCTCTTTTTGGCTGATTAAAGACCAGACGCGCCGCTGCTTTCTGGACCATTTGAAGAGGTCTCACAGTACAGCCTGGAAGACCAGTTAGAAGGGCATTGCAGTAATCGAGGCAGGAGATGACAGTAGATTGCACCAGGAGCTGGGCGGCATGTTGTGTTAGGTATGGTCTGATCTTTCCTATGTTATACAGTGCAAAGCGGCATGAACGAGCAACAGACATGATCTTTAAAGGGGTGACAAGTAGTTCAGTTTTAGAGAGGTTGAGTTGGAGATGGTGGGATTTCATCCATTTTTATATGTCAGAGAGACTAGTTGGAAACAGGTGTTCATGCAGCAGCTGATTGCAATGGTTGAGACCTAGAGCACCTGATGAGGGGAGAAACAGCTCAATCACAGCCCCTGATTGCACTTATTGTTTTCAGCTGGCCCAAACTGGAGCTACAAGACAACAGGATTACACACAGATGAGTTTCCTTCTCTTTCCAAATGGAAGACAGTGCAAAGCAAAAGTTTAAGAAGACAAAAACAAGCACTAACAGACACTCAAGGCCCTTCGGTGCAGATTCAAGTCTGTTTGAAAGTGCTTGCAGTTGCTTTTTAAGCTTTGCTTCAGGTGAGAGGACGGCCCACCTAGATCACCTGATCAGTGTTTTCAGGGAGGGGAGAAACGGCTCGTTCACAGCCCCTCAAATGGACTCACCTATCAGGGGGAAATACTTGTGCATGTTCTGTGTGAGGTTTCCATCCATTATTTGCCAGTGAAAGACATCCTGAAAGAGGTGGGATGTTTAACAAACGTTTTCTCTCAAACTGAAACACATTTCCAACATACGCACCATTTGTAGCTTGATGTTGGGTTTTCCAACACTCTCCAGTATTGCTGCCGCTGCAGAAGAACCAGCAGAACACAGAAATGAAGGCCGTCAAATATCTCATTTAAAACATTTACAACAAGACTCGTCGCTTTCCCAGAATCTATGTACAGTCTGATTTAGGCCCATGAGTGTAAATGTGGAAATGGTAAACAGACTTCATACCAACATCCAACACTGGTGTTTATTTCAGTTGATTGTATTTTATCTCTTTTTTTTTATTATTTTAGTTCTATTTCTAAACCAGAAGTTTTTGGTTGTAGCTAAAACAAAATGGTTGAAGCTCAGTGTGTTAGAGAATGGTGGAAATCTGACCTTTAGAAAGAAAGTCCATAATTAATCTAAACTTAAAGGGGCATTATGGAAGTTTGACAGCCAAAACATGTATAGAAATAATAAATGTCTGCTTCATACATTCTCCTGCAATGCCCTGGTCCTGTAGAATGAGCCCTGGCATTTTTACTGTGATTGCCTGTTTTTCTGTAAAATCACAGAAAAAGAGAGCTGCTCGGGTCGAGCAGGCTGCTTCATGCGTGTTCACGCTCAGGCATAGCCCTCCGAACCGCTCGTTGAACGTCGTTTCAGCTGTGATCAAGGATATAAATGTTACAGATACAGAAGGCGCCACTGGCGATTTAGCTCCCCTAGTAAAATTTCGAGCTTTCATGCTGAAGCCCTGGGTTCGATTCTGGATGTGAACATGGTTGTTTCAGTGTTTCGTTTTTACATTAATGGTATATTTTTTTACAGTAAGATGCCCAAATTTTTATTTGAGACTCGCCGAAAGGCATTGAATTCACAGATATAAAAGATGTGAGTTCAACTTTCATTTTGGAACAATTTTTCAAGCAAGGGAAGGGAATGATCTGAGCATGCAGGAGGACTGACCCATCATAAACCTTTGTCGGCTGTGCTGAAGAGAAAGGTACAGAACCAAATTATTTAATTAATTAGCTGCACGTTCTCCTGTCCTCTGTCCTCCGGGCCACACACACACACACACACACACACGCACGCACGCACGCGCGCGCACGCACACACACACACACACACACACACACACACACACACACACACGACTGTCAGCTCTCAGAGCTCTGTGAAGCTGACCCCCGTCAGCTTCACAGAGCTTCGTCTCAGCTGTTATTTTCGTTAAAGAGTGTGCACGTACAGCATGCGCGCCTCGTGCACGAGCCTCCTATCGAAGCTGCCGTTATGCTTTTGGCCAGAGGGGGCAATCGCGAGCATAAAAATTCAAAACTCCGTAAAGTCCCTTTAAGAATCCTGTTCTTGGTTTTTAAAAGAACAGTTTGAAAAATGAAAACCTTGGTTTCCTTTTAAAAGGGTACAAAAATCATATGTGTGTGTGTGTGTGTGTGTGTTACCCTGGTGAGGAGAGTCCAGAAAGTACCTAGGGTCTGTGATCCTGGTGTTGATTGGTTCTATCAGTCCTGTGATTCCCTCCTGTAACGACCATCATTTGTGATTATTACTGATATCCGTTTATCTCCACTGAGAAGTTTACTGATCTATGCTGTGATATTTCACTCATGCTCCCAAAGCCCAGGCACAGTTTCTACAACTTTATTGTACCACCACTGATCTGCAGATGGACGAAGCCCCCGCTGATGAAGAAAAGTATGTGGATGAAGTATTCTACTGATATTCTTATGTTTGAATTTAGCTAAAATGTAAACATTGTGCCCAGCGACCCTGCGTGGATAAGCAGGGATCGATGATGGATGGATGGATGTAAACATTGTGATAGTAGGACTTTGAATGTTGAACTACAATTACTCAAGTAATTTACACTATATTGTATTTACAATTATATTTTTAAAATTTGTATATAATACATTTTACACTAATTTAACTTTCTCAAGCAGAAGACACGTCTTGGCTGAACTGAACAGCCTAAAGTTGAGATCATTACTGGACTTCCCTGTGTCAGTTCCTGGTGATCAATTATGTCCATGTCTTCTACAAAGTGAACCAGTCTCCTGAGAGCTGATGACATGTTGAACAGAACAGAAGGTATACTGGTACCTGCCTTAGAGAGGATGTCAGCAGCATACTTTAGGTTCTGCACAAAGACAGCCTCCATCTCCTTAGCAACCAGGTGTCTGTGGGAGTCCACAGGAACCCGACCTGCCATCAGGTGGATCCTGACCGGTGAGAGAGAAAAGCCTGTTCCTCCTGCAGGTGTGTGTGTGTGTGTTTACTTGCTTGGGCTGATAACTTACATCTTGCAGTTCAAACCTTTTGCATACTTTAAAGTCTGATCCAGACCCTGTCTAAAGTCCCCCTCCCTCCCTGGAACTGCTGCGAGACCAAGATCACCTGCTTTAACGTCTCCTGTAACACACACACAGATAGTTAACCACATAACTACAGTGCTATGCTGCTAGTGTGGAGCTCCAGTACCAGGCGGGGTGTTGATCAGGACCACCTCCACTCCTGCAGCCTCTCTGGCTCTCTGGAGCTCCGTCAGGTCCGCGTCGTAGAGCCAGGCGGCCTCCACAGCCTGAAACCCGGCCGCAGCGGCCGCCGACATCCTCTGACTGAAGTCTGGAAGCTCAGAGAACAGCCAGGAGATATTCGCACTAAACTTCAGTGGAGCCATGTTGGGCTTGAAGTTCAGAGACCAACGAACCTGCGTTCACGCAGATCTGGATGCGCTCGATTTATAAACCGGCTTGCCAATCGGCGCGCCGAGTGGGAGGAGTTTGTACTGTTTCACGCGGCTGCCCGCCTCATGCTCCGCCCACAAAGTGGCCTACCTGTTGCTGAACTTATACCTCCAACATACAAGTTTGGTTTATTTATGTTTCTTGCTGTTAGTAAACTCCGCCCTAAACGGATCATAACCCGTTCAACTGAAAAGGAACAGACCCACAATGCAGTACTCTTCGTCTGTGGGCCGTCATCTCACACTCACAGACCTACTGCACCACCTACTGGACTGTAGGTTGTAGCAGTAGACCCTGATCCTGGCTCAGGTATCCTGGCCTCACCTGGAGCTCGTGTCCTAGACCTATAGTCCATGTGGTCGGTGAAGGATGTAAGCTGCCCTTGTATCTCAGTTTGGAAACAGATCAGAAAGGAATTCACCTTTAAGGTAGTCTGGTTGAGAACAGAATCAAAACGAGAACAATGTGAGGATGGGCAAATGAACCAGATCAAATGCTTATCAGGGTGAGTCGTGATGACAAGAAAAGTAAAATTTTGAAGGAATGTGAGTGTTTGATAGTCCAGCTGCTGTTCTGAGGTACTGGTTCTGATGGACCATAACCTAAAGTAGACCATTTCATAATATGGTTTTTTTTGTGTCTTTTTCTTTCTTATGAAGCAATGTAGACATGCAAATGTTCCCATGAAATGAGTGAATTCGATTTAATTTGTTACAGAATAACCCAACTGTGCATTAGACAGGCTACAGTGATTCTGTGGTAAGTTTGCTAAGAAAGATCCTGTGCCGTAATCTCTCTTGTCCTGTGGGTCAGAAATATTTTCTGTGCCATCTGGCCACAGAAGCACCTTGAGAAATGCTTGACTATGTCTAATATTGGCTGTTTTTCCAGCATCCATCCCCTCAGGAGCTGTATCCTAGAGAAGACCATCTGGTGGCTTGTTGTAGGATTTGTTTAACCGGCAGGAGTTCTGGAGCCTCTCAAGCGTTCCCTCTGTATTACACAAATACTCCATAGGCTTTGGGATGGAATGGGATGTTTTTTTCCTTAAAAAAGGCCAAAGTATTTGTCTACAGAGAAAAACAGACACAAATAATCCGGCTTCACATTCTGGCTTGTCACAGCTCACTGAATAAGAACAGATGGACCTTTGAATGATTGAACGTTTATATAAAACCATTAACTGCAGTTTACACCAGGCTTTGCAAAAGCCAGCCATGTTGGATTTTAAAGGTGGGGCCGATGAGTATGGCCAAATCTCAATACTTGCCCTGCAGTCTTCTGTGCTTACTGCACACTTGTGGACGTGTGCAGTAAGGCTACACGTGCGAGGTACACAAGTGTGCAAATAATTGCCGAATTGGGACAGGGAGCATTGCGTCATCGACCACAACACATGCTGGGATTCTGGTCGCTGTGATACTTTAAAAACACTTAACAACTTTCAAACAAACAACCAAATATTTGAAATAAGTTTACATTCATTGCTGCTTTGTCTAAAACATACAGAGCATCAGTGAATTATCCTAAAATGAACTAGTTTCATTTAAAAATAAATATTTTCTGAAAAGCCACTTTGCTTTTCCCCTGCAGCAATGGATTGTGGGTAATACCCTTCACCCAAGCACACATCGATACAGTGTGGATCAAGAGTGCAAAAGGGGCGTGATCAACTTCCGCACTTGAGAATCAGGACACCCTATGCACTCGCATTCCTGGCCGAGATGGCGCAATTGAAGGGAGCAAGTGTAGAATTGGGATTGGTCCAAGTTTTGTTTGAACTTTCCTCGGCTGAATTAATCCCAGCAGCATCTGCTGGAGACAAGTCTCTTCACAGCTTCCAGAGCAAAACCTGGTCTCCATAAAAAATGTTCATGACCGTTTCTCATTGTTATCATGAATCACACAACAGACACTGTGAATGACTCAACTCTGTTCTACCTGAGCTGTGGAGATGATGATGACGAAACAATTCTGTAAAAATTAATTAAAAGGAATAGCATCCAAACGTGAGACCACCCACAACAAGAAACCTGAAAGACCCACAGTGCAGGTCTCCAGCTGATCACAGGGCCACAAAGACAAATGACACAACCAGCCATCAACACGTTTTCACTAATGACAATTTTACAGCAGGACTATCCAATGTTGGCCCTCCATGAACACCATCCTGTATATTCCAGAGATATTTCTGCTCAACACAGAAATATATCTAGATATTTTAATGAGCAGGTGATTAACAGGCTTCTGCTAAACTTGAACTGATGAACAGGTGATTCAGCCATTGATTCAGTTGCGTTGGAGCAGAGAAACAACCAACACTCTGGACGGTGGCCCTGGAGGACCGGAAATGGACTCCACTGACTTAATTAGAGTCACTATTAAAATGAAACCCACACATGTATTGGGAAAATGTACAAAATCCACGCAGAAAAGCTGAAGCTGGGATTTGAACCTACAACCTTCATGTGGTGAGGCTACCAACTTCAACATCATGCAGCCAGATGTGTTAATTGACCATTTAATTAAAGAGGGTGGGAGGAACTTAACAAGAATGCAGGGTGAGACAATGCTAAGGTTACATCATGTGTTTTCTGAGGCAAAAGACCAGCAGAAGCTTCTTTTTCCTGGGATGAAAATACCACCAGTTCCCAGAAGGGGATAGTTTTCACACTAATTACACGTCATAAACAAAACCAGAAACTTTATGCTGCAGCAGGAGTCTGCATAAACATGGACATGTTTTCGACTAAATGGTGTCTGACACGGGGAACTGTGCTGCCTTTAACTCTTACCAAGCGATTCTAACTAATAGGTTTAACATTTTAGCAGTTATTGCTAGTTCTGCTTTGAACTGCCTCTCTTCCGGTCTTGTGATGGGACATTTTCTGGTAATGAGAACAGATTTTCCTCTAAAATTGCCTCTCTAATCTGTGGTGTTGCAAAGTCTTGGGTCCATAGTTTTCTTTCTACAGCTCTACACTCCCTATCACACATGTTTTAGAAGATGTAGTCCAGTGTTTATCCCAGATCAATGACTGAATCACCAGCAACTATCTTGCCTTGTTTCCACTGAAACAGCTCTTCTTAGGGTCTCCAATGATGTTCTGACTCACAGTGATGCAGGGGACTGTTTTGTTCTGGTCCTGCTGGACCTGACTGCAGCCTTTGACACTGTTGACCATCACCTGCTACTGGAGAGGCTGAGAGACTGGGTAGGCCTATCAGGAACTGCTCTGGAGTGGTTCTCCTCTTATCTCTCTGAGTGCTCCTTTTCTGTGGCAGTCTCCAAGTTTAGGTCCTCCACCACCTCCCTTACCCATGGTGTCCCACAAGGTTCTATGCTGGTGCCTCTGCTCTTCCTCCTCTATCTGCTCCCTCTTCAGCACATTCTGAGGTCCTTTAAAGGAATCTCCTACCATCTTTATACAGATGACATCCAACTGTACATCTCCTTTAAGTCCCATGAGATGTCTAAGCTGCAGCTGTTACACACCTGCTTAGACTCTATCAAAACCTGGATGGGAACTTTCTTCAGCTGAATGAAGATAAGACTAAGATCCTCATCTGTGCCCCAGACAAGCTGGTTCCCAAAGTCAGAGACTCTCTTGGTCAGCTTACTTCTCACATCAAACCCTCTGTCAGGAATCTTGGTGTGACCTTTGACCCAGCTCTCACCCTGGATTCTCATGTCAGTTCTCTTGTTTGCTCTTCCTTCTTCCATCTCAGGAACATTGCTGAGTCCCATTCTGTCCCGCTCTGAACTTGAGACAGTTCTCCACACCTTCATCTCCTCACGCTTAGACTACTGTAACTCTCTTTTCACGTGTCTGAGCAGAACCTCCCTGGACCGTCTACAGGTGGTTCAGAATGCCTGTGCTCAGCTTCTGACCAAGTCCTCCAAACACACCCACATCACCACGCTTCTCCTCCAGCTTCACTGGCTGCCAGTCAACTTCAGGGTTCATTTAAAAAATTTGGGTCTGGTCTATAGGGCCTTACACGGACAAGCACCGTCTTACATTGGTGATCTTCTTAGTCCCTACACCCCCAGCAGGTCCCTGAGGTCCAGTGATCAAAGCCTACTGGTTGTGCAGCACCAGGCTAAAGGTCAAAGGTGACAGATCATTTGCTGCTGTGGCCCCCAGACTCTGGAACTCTCTCCCCCTGAGCCTGAGATCAGTGGACTCAGTGGTCTCCTTTAAAAAGCAGCTGAAAACTCACCTGTTCAGGCTGGCTTTGATGTGACATTCATCACCACCCTCTCCTTATTCTGTTCTTATTTCGCCTTTCCCAGGATCCATTGATTTCCCTCTTTCCTTTTCATTTGCTCTCTCCCTTTCCTTACATTTTTTTCCTTTTTAAACATATTTTTAATCATTTTAAAAATCTTTTTATACTTACATTTTTGTTTTGTTTTTGTAGAGCGCCTTGTGAGTTTTATCTTGAGAGGCGCTATATAAACGATTGTTTTCTTTCTTTTTCTTTAAACACCAGGAGGACCAAGATCATGATTGTTGCACCATCATTTAGGATCTCTCTTCCTTTTGCTGAAAACCCTAGTCTTGTGTTGGAAATCTGGGTGTTATATTTGATTCCTCACTTAGAATGATATTTCTCTCACTCCTTCCTCACTTGAGGGACATTTCTAAACTACATCACATGGTTTCATCTGCTGAATCAGAGAACATTATTCATGCTTTTGTGTCATTGCAACGCCCTGTTCACTGGACTACATAAATCATCTCTCCCATGCCTCTGAGCTGTCCTAAATGCTGCAGCCAGACCACTGACCCGATCCAGGAACTGTTTCCACATCTCTCTTGTCCTACACTCCCTAGTCCCTACAATGACTTCCTGTTGAGGTTAGAGTTCATCTTAAAATTATCTTTCTTACCTACAGATCTCTCACTGACTTCTGTCTTTGATTACAAGTTCAAGTAGTTCCTTGTATCAGATTGAGAACCAGAGAGACATAGCTTTTGAATCACCTCA